ATAGACAAAGGTAGAAAATTTAGTATTCTATTGTTGGGGGCCCTCCTTTTATTTGGGAGTAGAGATGCCAAACACAACATATCTTAGTTTTCCAGCATACTGATCTCCACTATAGAGTTCATCTATGAGAATATATGTACATGCTTGTTTACATGTATATCTATTTGTTTCATATTTTGCATGAAGTTTGCCTTATATCAGAGCATATGATATTTGCCCTTTGGGGATTGGCTGATTTCACTGTGAATAATGGTCTCCAAAGGCAACATGCAGGAGAGGAGCCATACCACATTTCCATTCAGCAAAGAACTCTGGATCTTCCAAACCTCACACTTGAAACCACAACCTCAAAAATGAATTTTGGGTGCCTGGGGCAATGGCTCAAAGCTTAAATCCTCCCCAGGCATGTTGCAGAATCCCATATGGGTGTGGGTTCCATTTCCCAGCCAACTCTCTGCTTATGGCCTGCAGAGAAGTAGAGGATGGCCCGAGGCCTTAGGATCCTGCACCCACGTGGGAGAACCAGAAGAAGCTCCTGGCTCCTGGCTTTGGATCAGCTGAACTCCAGCCGTTGCAGCCATCTGGGGAGTGGACCAGTGTGTGGAAGCTCACTATCTCTGTCTGTCTTTCTTTCCATATATCTGATCTGCCATTCCAACAAAAATAAATAAATTGTTTAAAAAAGTTAATTCTGGGGGCCAGTGTGGTGGTGCATCTAGCTAATCTTGACCTGTAGTGCCAGCATCCCCTATGGGGCTGGTTCTAGTGCCAGCTACTCCACTTACGATCCAGCTTCCTGCATGGCCTGGGAAAACAGCACAGAATGGTCCAAGGGCTTGGCCCCCTGAACCCAGGAGTTTTTAAACTTGTTCTTGAACCTGATGCAATAGGTTTAGGAACGTTTAGAGCTGAGTCAGAATCAGTAGAATAAAATGTGCCTGGCATATGTGTATCTGTTGGGCAAACCCTTGGGGAACTGTAAAAGTTACCTGACATTTGTTCTTTCTTCAGTTCTCTCCTATCTTTTCCCACCTTAATCCTTACAAGTATTCAGCATCTTGCTCTTTAAAAACTCAAATCCTTGTTGCGGCCATCAGATCCAGCCCCTCTTACGGCACCTACCGCCGTGAAACCGTATAGTCTGCCGTTCTACCCCCAGCTGAACCTCATAGCAAACTAATCTTCACGAAGTATATAAGAGAAAAAAATGTGGCACAGTCTTACCAAATGTCTTACTAAAATGTCAATGACTAATAACGATGCTTGACATCTCTTACAAAGTTTACATCAGTTTTAAATAGTTGCTTATTGGCCAAATAAATAAATTTCCTGTCATTCCCTAAAAATAAGGGCACGCTTAATTCTTTCCCATGGGAGTAGGTATGGCTGTATGATTTGAGCGACAGAGCAGTATTTCAGGCTAAAAGAGGCCATTAGCATCGGACCAGCTGTGGCTGAGAAGCTTGGAGTGGACGGTGAAGGGGAAGAGGTGAGGGAAAGTTTGCACATGGAAGGTTTTACTTCCTTCAGCTTTATTTTCTCTTCCTTATTTTTATGCTGATTGGCTCTCTTTTTTATTTCCCTTCTCTGTCAAAAAACTGTTTCAGTACCTCTGGGCTTTATTTATTTATTTTGACAAGCTGGAGGCCGGGTTATATGCTCCAAAAACTGTGGCATTCAACTCTTGCCTCTGAACTCTCCGGCCAAAGTGCAGAGTAAATAGGTACTGTGTTACTTGCCAGTGCAGGCATATTTGTCCGTGTAGGCCCAAGGAAGGGAGAGGCATGTTACAAATGCCTTGAGAACAAAAACAAACTTTTGAGATGGAATATTTTATAGCGTCATGAAAAGAAGCTGAACTTCTAGAAAACACAAAGTACAGAGGAATACTTATCTCTAAAACAAATTGGAAAAAAAAAACCACACACCCAACAAAACATGACTAATACTTCAACAGTGAGCTCACCTCAAGCATTTCATGAATTTCACATGACCCACCCACTTTCCCTCTGTACCTCTCAAGATTACCATATCAGCAGCAATAGGAGCCTGTTGTTCAAGAATCAGATTAACACATCTACGTAACCACGGCATTCCTCAATGCAGAATACTGGGCTGCTTGTCTGCTTTGCGATTTCTACTATAAGGTTAATTCTTATTCCCGTATCCTCCTCCCTTAATCTCATGCCACCCCCCTACCTCTCGTCAATCACTGGTTTGTTTTTTTGTGTGTTCTTTGAGTAGTTCTCCTCCTTTCATTCCTTAGTCTCTGTGACATGATTGAAACTGTCTGCAAATTCACTGCACATCCTTGCTGTATTTTAAAATCTTGACCACACAGCCATGTCTGGGATACTTCTCCCCCATGTTTATGATGTGTGGTGAAGTGGGTCAGAAGTGACCATGGTGAAGTTCACGGTCACCTTTGTGTCTTTCTCAGTAAGCCTTTTTAAAAAACATGATTGTAATTTCTGGATTGTATAGGAGGTGGGTTTCGCCAAAAAAAAAAAAATGTCCACACCACAATGATATCAAACAATTTTCATTTCCAATAGAAGTGTGGAAAGGGCTGGGCAGTGGTTAATTTTTCAGTTCTGTGTGTCAAACTCCATGGAAGAGTCAGCTGGGGCCTAGCAAGCTATTTTAATTAACTTCCTTGCTCTCTAACGTGCCTCAGGGGATGTGTGCTCAAGCTGACCCATGCGGCTCAGGGAGGAACATGACCATCTTGGCTCTGTTTAGATAACTGTGGACCAGGGGTAAGGGGACAGAAGAGACAGATTGGAATAACAGAGAGAGATGAGAGCTTGGAGAGTGTGTAGATGTGGGAGTGGGTGGCACTTGGGGCTCACCAAGGCACTCCTGGAAACCCTGGCAGCAGCGGAGGCCTGGCTGATGACTTCATGGGCCAACACTGCCTCTGTGTGGGGTGCCTGGAGAGCACTTGAAATGTACTTGAGAGTGCTGGGGAGAGAAGGGAAGAAAAAGAGGTGTTTTGTTGTTTTTAGTAAAGGAACTGCACGCTTCCGGGGATTTCTTGAGTGAATGCTATGCTTCTTGACATTTTAGCTTATCTTAGACCTTTGAAATCTTGACAAAGGTTGTGCATTCTTTGAGGTTCCTCCTGAAGAGTCCTTGGACTCACTTTTTCAGACTGCTCAGGTGTTTTGCTAACCTAAAATTCAGCTGAGGTAAAGGGCCTGGCGTTAGCAGTAAATATTCAGGCCACTCATCTACATTTGAATTCCAGACAAGACGTATTCTTTCAATGTGAATTTCAACTCGATATTTAAGACACATTTTTACTTAAAAAATTCTTTATTGCTTATCTGAAAATCAAATGTAACTGGGCATCTTCCAATATATCTGGCATAAAGTGGGCTTAGAAATTATTTATTAAATCAAGAAGTCAGACATTCAGCTCCTTAAAAAAAAAAAACTAACATCATTCATTTAAAGTGTGCAATTCAGTGACTTTTAGTGATTAACAGATGAGTGTAATCATCTCTCAAATCAATTTTTGTCACCTCTAAAAGAAACTCAGTATCTAGTGACAGTCAATTTCTCTCCCTCCCTAACCATTGCTCAATGCTAGCTAGTCCTTGGCAACAACTAATGGACTTTTTCTTTTTTTAATGATTTTTTTTTTTTTAACTTGAAAGTTGGAGCTACAGAGAGGGGAGAGAGAGGGAGAAATTTTCCATCTGCTGGTTCACTCCCCAAATGACCATAACTGCCAGAGCTGATCTAGTCCAAAGCTGGGAAGCAGGAGCTTATTCTGGGTCTCCCACATAGGTGCAGAATCCCAAGCTTTTGTGCCATCCTCTGCTACTTTCCCTGACGATAAGCAGGGACCCGGATAGAGAAGTGGAGCAGCCGGGACTAGAACTAGCAGCCATAAGGGATGCCAGCGTCATAGGCAGAAGATTAGCTAGATACACCACTGTGCCAGCCCCTGGACTTTGCCTTCACTTAAAAAAATATCTTAAATTTACTTGACACACAAAGGAAGGAAACATACCTGCTTGTCCACGGCTCAAATGCAAGCCAGAGTTAGAGTGGACAATTTTCCAGGTGCCAGGCTGGGAAGAACCAAAGCACTTAAACCATCACCTGCCGCTTCTCAAGGTCAGCACTGACAAGGAGCAGAAATCAGGAGCCAGCCAGGAATCAAACCCTGGCACGCCAATGTAAGACCCTGGTTTCCCAACAACTCCACTGCTAAGCCAAACGCTCCACCCACTGCATGTACTCAGCAGGCAGAGCCACTCAGCAGGCTGCCACTGAAGCGGGGATCCTGGAACTCTGTGCAGCGGCTTATTTCACTTAGTCTAATATTTCCAGGATTTAAACACATTATACCGTCTGTCCGTACTTCATTTTTATGATCAAATAATATTCCTTTATACTCGCAGAGTCTACAACCAATTTATTCATTTATGTATTGATGAACATTTGTATGGTTTCCATATTAGGAATTATAGAAATTATAGTAATAGGGGACAATTTTTTTTAAGTGTTTTAGTGATAAATCTTCACTTCTCTTGACTGCATAGATAGAAGTGGCCATATGGTAACTATGTTTAATATTCTGAGAAACTGCCAATTGTTTCCCAACGCACTCGCACCACTGAACTTTTTTTAAAGACCCTTTAGGTATAGCCAGCGATCCCGGGAGCCGGCCTCCTCCGAAGACTCCGCCTTCATGCTCTATAATCCCTCCTTTCCCCTCCGGACAAGGGGCGACAGGGCCAAAATATCAGACCCAGCGCACTGTGGGAAACGTAGTTAGGCCTCTTGCCTGGTCCCGCCTTCTCAGCGCGTGCAGGCCCAAGGAAAACAGACGCCCCTTGCTGGGGACCTGTGGACATTGTAGTTTTCTTTCTAATCAACCAAGCGGAGATTATGTCCTAGAAAACTACCATCCCCAGAATTCCGCAGGGCTACGGCAGCCGCAGGGCCAGTCCGCGTGCAGCCCCCCCCGCCCACCCTCCGGTCTGGGCCGCACTCCAGGGCGTCTGTAAACACACCCAGAGACTGTCATGGAGGGGGAGGAGGAGGCGGCGGCGGCGAGGGGAGGCGTTCTGGGCCGCCTCCAGGGTCCGCTCTGCCATTCCTGATCTGGTCCCTCGTCCCCGTGACTGTGGCATCAGGGAAGCGAACTGTTTAGGCGAGAGGAAGAGGCAGTCAGAACCATATCCCCTTCTTCCCCGGGGCGGGGGCCGGGCAGAGCCGGCTGAGCCGGGGGAGGGCCGGGGGAGGGCGCGCCTGGCCGGGCCGGCCTGTCTGCCGAGATGGATGACAGCAAGGTAAGTCTGTGGTTTGCACGCGCAGCTGCCGCCGCCGCCGCCTGCTTGTCGCTAAGTGCTAGTCTCGCCGCCGAGCCTCAGCTCAGCAGTCCGTGCCAACAGCCGAGAAACACCTGTCTTAGACATCCTGCGCCTCTCCAGTTGCTGCCCGATGGTCCCCACCTGGAAATTCAGGAACACGGGGGCTGCGTTTTTACTGGACGGGCCAGATGCGTCACTCCCAAATGTGTCACTCCCGGGGCAGACCTGTTTGTCAGCTTTTTCCAGGGAGTGAAGCCGTTAGTCTCTGACTACCCCCTCTTCCCCCCGAGATAAGTCAAGAAACTACTGTGCTTGCCAGCTGCCCCTCTTCTCCTTTCCTTGCCTGTCTCCAGTTGGGAGCCCTTCACCAGCCCAGCTCCCCTTTTCTTCTCTCAGGCTCCCATACTCAATGGCCCATTCATATCATCGGTTCACTCCCCCATCTGAGCTCTTTTCCCGTGGTTGGTTGAAACACTGCTAAGCTCCTGTTGCTCTCTGGCCAGTTTGGAATCTAAACTCCTTAAGGCTTCTCTAAGTAGTGAATTCCTTCTTATTAATCTAGATTAATATGGCCTGTCACCGTCCCGCTTTTCCTTATCCAAATCCCTTTATGTTACATGGTGTTCATGGTTGGTGAATTCTTACCCTTTAGCTAGAACCAGCCTGTCCTTTTATGTCCCTGCATTAGTGATGTGTTATTTCATGGAAAGGGACCGTCGGGATTTCCCTTAGGTATGTTTTAGGGTGCTTAGAAAATGGACTCTTTTATTGTGAGGAGTCAACGCTTGTAAAATTGGCCAGTTTTGCACGTAAAAGCAGCCCTTCCCTATATTCGCCTGAGTCTGATTTCCCACAGTCTGGCAATGCCCATCAGGAGAGATTCTTCCTTCGAGTGGGTGCCCTTCCTTTCTCCCCTGAGCCAGCGACACTGAGCTGCTGCCCGGATTTTGTTTCACACATGCTCAGGGAGACCCGCAAGGTGGCCGGCATCCCTGGGCTGCCTGTTGGCTCCTATGCTATCTCCCCTTCCTTCATCTGTGGGAGGGACAGGCCAGTGCAGTCCTCGGGTACTGGGACCCAGGGGCAGGAGGACATGGCTTGCCCCCAGTAGGAAGTGGCATTTCCAAGACATCAGGGAGAAGTTCTGGAAGCTTTCCACCAAAATTAGAAAATAATTTTCCATGGAAGCTTTTGCCAGCTTGATTTGCTCGGTGTTAATTTTGAAATGAAATCCTGAATACTCTATCCATTGTTTCCCGGAAAATGATGTTATTGCTGTTTACTGATGCTGAAAGAACATACTGTTCTTGAATTATTCTCAGTTGGAGACTCACAGTATGGCCTGTGTTATTTTCCAAACCTTTGAAACAGTTCACAGCTTGCTCAAAGTCCTCAGCATTCTCAAATAAACCTGAGAAATCCATAGGATTTGGGGTTACCTCTAAGATAGTATAGAGATTATTTCTAAAACTATGAAATTGTAGTGGAGGAGGGAGGGATGTAAAACTCACTGTTTTGCCTAAAAAAGTGAAGGTAAAATTTGAGGGTAGATCACCCATAACTTAGCTCCTATAGCATGCACAGGTAAGTAAGACAAATGTAATGCTCATTCTTGATTAACGTGTTGTTTTTATGAGAGTATTTTCAAAACTGGAAGGCTTTTTAGGTTTTAGTGATTACCAAAAAGAAAGTTCATTTCAAATGCCGCTGGATGGAAAGTGCCTTTCACTTTGAATGTGTGTTGTAGGTGTGAGTGAGTCATATTTAAATAGCTTGAACAGCAAGACTGGGCTGTTCCTTCAGCAGTTGGGCAGTGTGAGACAGCCATTAAGTAAGGCGTTGCCAGGTCTCAGCCCTGCCCCTCCCTGTGCCCTAGTTGTCGTGTTTCTCCTTGTGTATACAGACACATGCACACACCGGACACCGTGTCCTCACGTGTGTGAATCCCCGGAGTCTGTTTCCATTGCTCAGGGAAGGGGTGGGGTTTGGAAGTATGGTGGCCAGTAAGAGCATAAAGGGTAACAGCCGGTGTGAGGCCAGGGCAACAGGAAGGGGACAAAAGTGGACTGGAGCTGCGCTTACGAAGAGGAAGTGTTTGAATGCACAGGTCAGGAAATGCGATGGTGATGGAAGCGCACCTTTTGTACAGAGGTTGGATTCCGAGTTGTTTTACCAGTGCCAAGAGCTCTGCACACCGTGCAGTCTCCTACAGGTCGGAAAGCTTGGACCCCGTGCCCCTTCCCAAGCAGCTGGTGATGTGCCTAATAGAGCATAAAGTACTAGTTGGTGGTGACTGACTCAAATCCAAGTTGAACGATGTTAAGGATATTGTCCTGGTACACCTGGGTTTTATTAATCTGTGTACTTGAGTCAAGCAGGGAAGCAGAGCATACACGCAGGAGCAGATAGGACAAATAAATGAAGAGACAGACTTGGGTCCCTCAAGGTGGAGGCCTGAGAACGCCTGCAGTAGCAAGTGTAAGTACTGACGGAACAGATATCCTACACTAGTTGGGAAGGAAAACATTTTGACTAAGTGGTTGAACCTTTCTTTCTGAGCTTCCATTTTCTTAGTTGTTGAAGGAGGCTGATCCCTTTTTTGCAGTCTTTGGTGAGGATTAGAGAGAATGCATGTAAATCTAGCACAGTGTCTAACCCATTGTCACCATTCCTCAGCGTTGGCTGTTGTGTGACGTTTCGGCCACATCTACCCCTGTGTTATACCCACACCCCAGGTGGGGCCAGGGACAGTGGGGTGGGACATGAATTCAGCTTCATGCTGTGTGAGGAAAGGCATCTTCCCCCCTGCAGGTTGCCTGCCACTGCTTATTTTTCTGAAGGCGTCTTCTCCTTGGCCTGCTACATCCCACCACAAGGAAAGCAGAAATGTGCTGTTCTCAGAGGCCGGCCTAAGAATTTGGGGCCGGGAAGTTTTCAAAGTCTGGAAGACTTCTGCCAGGTCGGAATGCTTGAGGGTGGAGCCTGAGGATTTCAGCTTTGATAGGTTATCCAATGGAATGCCTTGAAAACTTAAAGAGTTTGCAAACCAAGCCCATAGGTGTTAAGGAGCCACCGCAGGATTTTAAACCATAGATGACAATATCAGAGTTGCATTTTTGAAGATGCTGATGGCTGTATGGAAAATGGACACAGGTAAAGATGTAGGGATTGGGACAAGACTCAAGGCAGGGGGTGCAACTGTGCAAGAATATGAATTTTGGCATATGACCTGAATCTAACTCTCATTCCCACCCTTTCAAACTGTAATGTTTTTGAATGGATTATTTCACTTCTTCAGAATTTAATTATATGGATTGAGTGTGTTACTTAGGAGTATATCAAGTTATTGTGGGAATTTAAAAAATTGTGTGTACGTGTGTGTGAGAGAGAGAGCTCTTAGCAGAAGAACCTAGTACATAATGAATTCTTCATAAATGCTAGTCTTTATGATTCTTCACAGGCTTGGATAGGTTGTTAGGAAGACAGTCCAGGATGAAAGGCCTTCTTAGAGACTCTTACAATGTAGGCTGTAGTTGATACGGAGTGCATAAAGTTCCTCAGTCGTAAAGATGGTGGCAAGAAGAGAGGGGTAAATAGATATGGTCATAGGTCTCCATAACCCAAGCTGGACAGGAGGCCAGTGGTGTCGGAGACCCCGAAGAAAGGGCTGTTCTTTGAGAGTGGAGAGATATTAGTCACTAATATGAGATGCTACCAAGAAGGGTCATATAAAATAAACAGTGGCAAGATACCTGGTGGACTTGCAAAAGAGAAGATTCTCTGTGAATCTGGAGTGATGGGGGCAGAAGCCAGAATGTACCAGCTGAATGAGAGACAGAGTGGGGAATAAGTAAGGACAGTGGCGAGTTCAGACTGCCTTGCTGAGTTGTCTGCGCTAGGTCCAGGCTTTGCTAAGCTGTGCAGTAGTATACCTTGAGGAAGTTGTAGCCAGCTCTGTCTTTAAGAAATCCTAGCTGTTGCGGGGAGGAGAGGCAAAAGTGAACCCGGAGTTTAGATGCCTGCTTCATCTCCTTTCTCTGCCTAGACAGACGGGCAGAAAGGTTAGCATCCTGCCGATGTGATTAGACTTTCTCGCTCCCACTTTTGGAAGATCTGGTAAATAAGAGGAAAAGCCAACGCCACCGCTTCGAGGGAAGCTATGGGAGCCTTAACACCAAGTAAAAATGTCCCCACTTGTTTTGTTTTGTCTCTTTAAAGTGGTCTAGAGCAGTGGGGAGGCAACCTACTCTTTTCTGTAATCAAAACAAGATAGTTTCTTTATGTTTTTTTTTTTTAAAGATGCAACAAACCCTCAGCTGTTGCCAGTTTAAGGCTTCCTGTGGTCACAGTAATTCTCTCAGGCTTGTCGCCTGGTGACCTTGATGAATGACCTGAAGAAATTGAGCCCTAAAGTTTAGGCAGGTAACTGCGAGGGGGTGGAAAAATAGTAAGTGTTCTTCATGGAGTTTCCAGATTTTACAGTCCTTCTAAAGCAACAATTTTCTTTTCTTTTCTTTTTTTTTTTTTTTACAACTTTTATAAGTTGTTGATGGTAGTGACATGAATTTAAATCAACTTCAAAATGTTGATATTTTTCATTTATCTAATTATAAGTTTTTCAGAAAATATTTATTTGTTTGAAAAGCAGAGTGATAAGAGAAAGGGAGAGAGCTATAGCGTGTGTTTGTGTCCATGCACTGGTTCCCTCCATAAACGCCTGCCACCGCTGGGCCTGGGCCAGCCACCCTGTCTCCCCCATGCGGGGCAGGAACCTAAGGATTCATGCTCTTTCCCCTGCCTCCCCAGGTACCCCTAATCACAAGGGAGGGACCAAGCTCAGCTGGCAATCCCATATGGTCCACTGGTATCCCAAGCGATGGCTTTACCCACAGAACCAGATGCCTGTCCCACTTATCAATCTTTTAATAAAGTCCTGGCTTTGTGCTGGATATTTTGAGTGGAGCAAAATAAAAAAAAAA